TATAAGGTTCATGCAAGCAGGCCTATACATTTAGCAAAAGATTTTCCGTTTCACAGTGAACTATAGAAACGACATGCTTCAGGGTTATAACTGACTGGCCTAAATCAGGTATTTATTTATACTGTAAAGTTAATTTGGTACAAAATATAAATATTTCTGCTAAAGGAATAAAGCAAAAATGTTCCTACAGGACAACACAATGGCCGGTGAAATTTTCAAACGGAAGGCTTGGAGCGAATCACTTGTAAGAAAGAAAAAATAATTTTTCATCGTCTGCCAGCAGTACAGTTTGTGCAAAGAAAACTTGATGTGATGCATACTTCAGTAGTAGGTGCTGATAATCTTCACAAGCAATTTCTTAAACAGAAAAATAGTCAGTTTTTGATTATAATAATCACAACTGAAGATAACTAGTGCGTTGGGAAAGAAACCAAGATTGCTTCTCGCATGGAGAACGATGGCTTTCAAACATCTTACGTCGAATTTTCCGATCAGGACCATCCTGTTGTTTCTCATCATCTTCTGCCGAAAACCACGCTCGTACACAATGTGCCACTGCGTTTAAAATTAATCCTATCATTCAGTTTCGGAAGTAGTTTTGAGATAGTTACGAATGTTTTTTCTACTAGCACACAAAATTCATGAACTGTGAGTAGAATGACACACTTATTAGCAACCTGTATGTCCATTTCACACTTCGTACGTCTTGTCTGGCGAGCTGAATAAAGTTCTACGCTCTCACGCTTTTTCTGTTCTCCGAAGTTCTCCTAATTGCCGTTCGTTTGGAAACTTTAGTAGGATCTTCCGTCATCTTCAGCACTTTCAACGGGGCTTCTGTAGGCTAATGTTCGGGCACTTGCCCCCAGCGCTTCCTTCTCCAAGAAACTGTGTCCATTCAGAACTCTTAAATGCGTCTGCCCACTTTACTCCGAGGAATACAATTTTGAATGTATCTGTGGCATAAATAACTTGACTTCAAACTCAAACCGCTCATTTGACAATAGGCCACTTGTTATTATCCACTGACAGTACCCTTATGGAAATGTTCTGTACAGAAAACCTTCTCGGATTGAAGGACGAAACAATACAAATAGAGTTCCTTGCACCTCACTTGACAAGGAGAATGTTCGTCCACCAAATCCGCTAGCTTCTTCAAAGGCCAAAATGTTTTTCGCCCACTGAAAAAAAAACCTAGACATGGATGTGGATTTCTACATATATTACCACAACTACATGGAAACAAAATCGACAGCAAAAATATAATGTACATGTAATAAGTCACTTGTAAATGTTTAAAAATTTAAGTAGGAATATCTGGAAAACAGAGCTTCATTTATTGACATCCCTGACACAGTTAAAGAAATAATAAATTGTGAAATTGTTTGTTATTCAGTTTATAAAATATAAATAGTCTAATTTTTCAAAACACGTAAGATGAGGATATAAAACAATGTTTACAATTACTTACTTTATATGTTAAAGATGGTCTCTTACTTTGAGTAAAGAACATTAATTACAAGTGTTTGAAAACACACACGCACAAGGTTCTAACAAACGGATAATGCATTCCTGATGTAAAATGTCTCATTATAGTCTTTCATTGATCGTAATTATTTTCAGGATGTTGGAAATAAAGAGAAGATTTTGAATGTTGTTACTCAAGAGACCTTGGTAATTATAACCACTATGAAGATATGTTCGTGTGATGAAGTATAAACAATCTGACGCATACGTAACACATGTATAATTTAATGCTATTATTCCTCAACGTCCTTCTCAGTAATAAACTCTGTTTCTGAACACCTTTAAGAAGCAAATTTTCACCCATCTTGACGTATCTGAGATTGTCGAATTTTATTAAATTTTTATCGGCCTATTACATTGTTGCATGCATATTCATCGCCCTGATGACGGAGGCAGTATGACCTCTGAAACGTTGGTAAACATCGGCCAGACTGCACAGCGCAACAACCCAGAAGACAGAAATCTTCATACTCATCGCCCTAATGATGGAGGCAGTATGTCCTCCGAAACGTTGGTAAACATCGGCCAGACTGCACAGCGCAACAACCCAGAAGACAGAAATCTTCATACTCATCGCCCTAATGA